TTTACTATAAATATGAATAAGGGAACATCGATGTCTATGGTGTGGGATGCTAGTAAAGCATATATGAGGGGAATTTTGATTCAATTGAATAAAGTTTTTAGGGAAAAAGGGTCACAAAGACGTAGAGAAATAGAAGAAGAGATCAAATCAAAAGAACAAGAGTTGGTTCTTAACCCTACTGATAATAATTTAAAGGTATCTATAAAGATGCTTAAGGAACAATTTAACATGTTGATGGCAGATCAGGTGGCTACCAATCTGTCGTACATGAGACATAATACTTTTTGCAATGCGAATAAGCCTGGGAGGTGGTTGGCTTATCAGTTACGAAAGAAACAGAAAGCTAGAATTATAGAGAAAGTAAAATATAAAGGTACTGAGGTTTTTCAGCAAGATTTGATTAGAAAAAGCTTTTTGGACTTTTACACAAAATTATATTCAAGTGATAATATAAGGGGTTTGGATATAGATAAATATTTACAATCAGTACATTTTCCTAGACTTTCAGAGGAACAACAAAATGGGATGAATAGTTTAATTACTGTGGAGGAAATTGGTTTAGCTATTAAGCAGTTAAAGGTTGGAAAGTCTCCTGGAACAGATGGACTGACTTCTAGGTATTATAAGATCTTATCTGAAGAAATGATAGAGCCATTAAAGGAACTCTTTAATAGTATTTTGTTGGGTATGCAAGTTCCTCCTTCTTGGAAAAGAGCCTTTATATCACTGATTCCGAAGGAAGATCAGGATCTTACAGAGCCTAAGAATTATAGGCCAATTTCATTATTGAATGTTGATTATAAGATCTTTACAAAAATTTTGGCAAATAGATTAATGCAGGTTATGAAAGACTTGATTCATAGTGATCAAGCAGGATTTATAACAGGGAGATATATGAAACATAATGTTAGACAAATTATTAACTTAATTGAGTACTTGGATAAGAATAATCAGATTCCTGTGGCTTTTATCTTTTTGGACGCTGAAAAAGCTTTTGATCAATTGGACTGGCAATTTTTATTTTCTTTGGTAGAGAAAATGAATTTTGGGGATAATTTTTTACATGCACTTAAAGCTATATATCAGCAGCAATCTGCACAAATTGTTGTAAATGGGGGATTGACTGAGAATTTTAATATTCAAAAAGGGACAAGACAAGATATCCATTATCCCCATTGTTATTTGTTTTAACATTGGAAATTTTATTGACTCAGATTCGGGAATCGAAGTTAATTAAGGGTGTAAAGATAAGAAAGAATGAGTATAAATTGCAGGCATTTGCGGATGATTTGGTTTTAATTTTGGAACAGCTGAATCAGGCGATTGATGGTTTATTAGAACTTATAACACAGTATGGGAATGTTTCTGGTTTTAAAGTTAATAATTATAAGACTAAGATATTATCTAAGAATATGTCAGTTAAAGAAAGGGAAAGTTTGATTAAAGCCACAGGTTTTCAGATGGTAAAAAAGGTTAAATACTTGGGAGTATATCTAACTGCTTCAAATGGAAAATTGTATAAGAACAATTACGAACCACTATGGGCAAAAGTCCAAAAGGATTTAAGAGATTGGAAAAAATTGCAATTGTCATTGTTGGGGAGAATTTCAGCTGTAAAAATGAATGTTCTACCAAAGTTTCTTTTTTTGTTTCAGATGATACCTATTCTTAAAAAAGAGGCAAATTTGGAGGAATGGCAAAAGGGTATCAATAATTTTATATGGGCTGGGAAGAAACCAAGGGTTAAATTTAAGATATTACAGGATGCTCGAGAAAGAGGGGGACTTAAGGCACCTAATTTGAAATTATATTATGATGCAGCCGCCCTAACTTGGTTAAGTGATTGGCTTAATTTAACAAATATGGATATTCTTTTTTTGGAAGGTTGGGATTTAATATACGGTTGGCATGCATATTTAATTTTTAATAAGAAAGTTGATCGGACTTTTAAATCACATATTTTGAGGAATGCCTTACTTCGTGTTTGGAAGAAGTATTATTATAGATTAAATTATAAAATACCTATCTGGGGGATTCCCAGACATGCAATTGAGGGAACCTCTAAGGGGACAAATTTTGATAAAATTTCATACAAAGAATTGTTAATTTGTTCTGGTTCGAATTGGCATTTGAAATCCCTAGATGTATTAAGGCAGCAAAATATTCTACAGTCATGGTTTCAATATTTACAAATAATGGATAGATGGACTGTAGACAAGAAAGAGGGAATAACACTAGAAGATAGACAATTGGTTATTCAGATTAAAAACCAAGGTCCGGCTCATATAAAAAGAATATATAATGTTTTATTAGAGTTAGATTCGGAAACAGAATTGGTTAAAGATTGTATGATTAAATGGGCTCAGAATATACAGGAGCCGATCTCATTGGATTTATGGGAGATAATTTGGATAAGAAATGTTAAATTTACACAAGCTCAAAATTTGAGAGAAAATTTTTATAAAATGTTTTATAGATGGCATTTAGATCCTAAAAAATTATCTTGTATGTATTCCAACATACAGCCCAAATGTTGGAGATGTGGCAATAATGATGCGACATACTTTCATATTTGGTGGAATTGTAAAAAAGTAAAGGCTTTTTGGATTATGATTTGGTGGAACATTCAAAAGATTTTTAGAAAAAAGATAAAGTTTACTCCTCAACTATTTTTACTTGGTATTTTTGTTGACTTAAATGAAAAAGAAACTACTTTGATGTTGAATTTATTAACTGCAGCAAGGTTACTAGTAGGTTTATATTGGAAGAAAGATTCTTTGCCTACTTTAGAAGAATGGATATTTAAAGTATCTAGTTTTGCAGAAATGGCAAAAATTTCTGCTTATTTAAAGGATCATACACAAGAAAGATATATTACTGTATGGGGAAGGTGGATAGATTATATTCAGAAAAAGTATGGAATTAAAAAGTTTTATTTATTTTATGAATGAATATCAAATATTATAGAGAATTGTTTTATAGGTTATGGAGTTAAAGGTTAATTATGATATTTTTTTCTCTCTTTTTTTTTCTTTTTTCTTAATTATTATAATTTTCTTTTTTTTTAACCCTGTATTCTGCTCTGGGAAGTGAAGGGGGGGTGGGGGTGGGAGGGAGGGTAATACAATACAAATTTTATTGTATTTTTATAAATGATTGTATGTTTTAAAAAATAAAAATTTTCAATATAAAAAAAAATGGCCAAATGGCCGACACGAAGGCTCAGCCATTTGGCCAAACCAGCCATGAGAGTACCCCTAAATGATACTATGGGGTGGAGGGGAACCCCTTCTTTGTGGACTTTGGGTAGCCTATAGAATCTAGCTACCGCCGTATCGCTAGAACGTATCCTCATAAGGGTTACATCATCTAACCTTCTACTACGTTTCAGGGCATTGAGCAACTTATTAACCCGGTTTTTAAGGGTCACCATGGGGTCCCCACTCACAATCCTGTAGGCTGTTACATCATTGAGTAGCCCCAATGCCTTATTGATGTAATGGGCTCTATCCATGACAACCATAGCCCTCCCTTTGTCAGCTGGCAATATGAGGGTAGCATCATCATCCTTGAGTTGGGCAAGAGCCTCCAACTCATTCCTTGATAGAGCTTGATGACGTCTGTGACCCATGAGTAGTCCTACCACACGGTGCCTAATACAATCTCCAACCTCCTCCGTTCCCATACGATGTATCACTGGTTCCAGCGCCGCCATAAAGTCCAAGGCATGAGCGTCCGTTAAATTGTGTCCCACATCCCATTGTAGAAGGGAAAGTTGGGAATGAGTAAGTGCCTTAATAGAAAGATTATGCACAAGATTTACCTGGGGAACAGTATTCTTTCGCAATTCCTGTAGTCTCTCGATTTTACCCTGGAGTCTACACCCTGACGATGATGGCAGTAGTACAGCCATTGAAAGCTCGGTTATTTATTTAAAAACTTGATTGTTTTTACTTCCTGGTGATCGTCTTTTATCTGTTAAGTATGTATGTACCCAGGAATCGATACTCTTCGATTTTTAGCTTAATTTTATAGTATAATTAGAGACTATAATTTTAATTTTATAGTATAATTAGAGACGGAATATATATATATATATATATATATATATATATATATATATATATATATATATATATAATCCCGGGTATATTCATGTTGAGAAAAGTAGTCGAACACCAGGATAAATAAAAACAACTGTTTAATAAACTAACAACTGTTTGATAAACTTAGTTTTTGTCGGCTAACTGCCAATGTTGTCAGAGTGGAATGCTGGAGGTTTGAAAGTCTGCTCATAAGACTGGCAGTTTGTGCGCTCTGCTCATAGAACGCATCACCAGTCTACCCGCCCCAGTTGACCGTATTACTTCTAATAGTCTTGCATCCGTCTGTATATTTGTAAGTTCAGGGATCACCGCCTCTCTTATTGTCACTCTCTTTGACCATTTTGGACGTATCTGGGTACACTTTGCTATAGGATGATCCCCCAGTGCCTCCTGTGTGCATGAGTAAGTCACAATTGACCATGTTTATGTCCACCCCAAGGCAAAACTAAACAATATATATATGGCTTTGTAAGCACACCATGAGATCCAGAGGAAGACTGCACCCAAAGAGAATGAAGCTTTGTCCTGAGATTTGTAACCCAAATATGAAAGACCTAGCTTAATGCATGTCTTAACCGAGCGAAAGTGCTGGTTTGAACCCAAAGAAACGTAATCTCAGATCCCTGTCAGACATGGCCTCCAGAGAGCATAGCTTCCCATGACTGCTGTCACTTTTCTGCTTCCCCCACTTTTTCAGTACCAGGCTGAATATTATCTTTGATACCTGTGAAGATTGCTTATTGGGTTTTAAAAAAAATCTCCAAGTGAGTTAATAACTTACAAGCACCTATTTAGGTTTATCCTTTGTTTTTAGAATGTTGCTGCTACTGTCCTTATTAGATATTAGATTAGAAGTTACGTAATTTCAATTTGCTTTATTCCATTTTTATAATAAATATATCTTTAGCTGTTAAGGCAATTTGCAAGTTAGTCAGATAAATCAGAGCACAGCAATTAAATGAAACTGAAATAATACAATAAATTGAGGTCTTCATTAAAGATGTATCTCTTCTCAAACACCAGTTTTTCCAGGATACTGTAGGTAATAAGAAATAAATTATGTTAGTTGAGAAGCTTATATAATCTTAAATGGATTCATAAACTAATCCATTTTATTCGATGAAATAATCTAGATGACCTCATTTCTAAATAGCTACAGAAATATATTTCCTAATATCAATTTGCCATAATTTGAGTTCTCCAGGAAAGCTCCAACTAAATTGGGATACCCATTTTTGAGTAATCCTGTTTTAAAGTCGTTAAAGCTTGTTTCACTAGGTCCGGATGCCACCTAATTAAAGAAGAATGAAAATCTCAAATGATTGAAAGATGCCTTTAATAGCATATATATAAATTGACATCAATGAATCAGGATGTGACCTGAGAATCTCCCCTAAATTGTTTGATGATTTTAAGAGAGAAAACCGACCCCATTTGCGCAGTATTCTTAATCTAGTTGCTGATTTAGCCTATTGGTGTTTGCACAAGGAACTGAATCATAAACTTTACTGGAAGGGCTGGATTAACATAACATTAACATAAGCCATAAAAGCCAGCCAAGATTAAAATTAACCCAGCTTCATATATGGACAAATACAATTGATAGGACTGAGATCTGAAGAAACTATGTATGGACTTCCGGTTCCGGATCACAGCGCTCACAACTGTGCAAGGAGACGGCTCTCTTTGCCAGCTGATTCTCCGCTGCTGGTAGACCCTTAATCGGGTCAAAAAGCCGCCTTGGAGGGGCGGCTACCAATGAGGAGGTCCTCGTCGTCCTTGGGAGAGTGGCAACTTCTTCCAGGGACTGAGATTGCACCTTTGAGCCGATGGTGGAAACAACGGCCAGTAAAATGGCCATTCATCTAGCCGCTGCAACCAGAAGTCAGAAGAACATCTAAGCACAGGAACCACCGTGGTTGACCGGGTGAGACTTTTTTTTCTCCCTCTCTTGGGTTTCTTTTTTTGTGCCCGTAAAGAGCACTTTTGAAATGATTTCCCTACTCTAAGAAGGCGGCGTTTGTGAGTGTGGGGAAAAGAAGCTTAAATGGACTGAATTCATTTAAAGTGATTTTTTTTCCTATTTTTATTTTTTTTCCCTTCACTTTGGGGTCTTGGAAAATTTTGTGAATATTGAATCTGCTATTGGACTTGAATGCTTCTTTTTTCTGTTTCCTGATCTTGTTTATGAGATTCCTGGTCTCTGGGAGAAGATTTTACATTGTACTGAGGACACCTTGTGGAAAAAGTTAAAATTGCAACTTTCTCTTTTGAGGATTGGACTGATCTTGACTTTCAGATTATCATAAAAGGGAAAATATAAAGAAAATTAACAGCTGTACTGGTGGGGGTAGACACTGATTAAATGTTCTCCGAACACAGCCTCTACTAAATGATACAGACTGTTTTTGATTATCTTTGAAATGGAGCAACCCTTGGTTCAACTTGACTATAAACTTATACTGGAAAAACTTTATGAAACTACTGATGAAATACGTTTGCAAATAAAAGAATTTACGATGGAAATAAAAAATAGAAATCCTGCTTTGAACTTACAAACTGACTCCCAGACTTTGTCTGAGCACTCTATGGACCAAGAAACAACAGAAATGGGTTTAACTAAAGGTAAAGAAGATTCCATTTTACTTCATACGCAGGCTGATGAGATCTCTGAGGAATTAAAAAGGTCTGTAATTAAACCACTTACAACCCTAAAATTAACAGAAATGGATAGACAAGCCCAATGAACTGAGAATGATGCTAGCTTGGATAAACAACTATTAGCTATAAAATTGGATGTAAATGAGCCGGCCACTCAACAGTTTCAAACGTGGAGATTGGACTTTGTCAAACAAGGGATTATTTACAAAGGAGCTAGGTTTCTAAAACAGAAAAGAAGCCGTCTCTGTTTGATTCAAAGGACACTACAAGACATAAAAAATGACTTGCTTATTGATATAGTGGCGTTGTTATGGAAACCTTTTTGGCATAAAAGGAAAGCTAGAATAAGATTTAAGAATGTGATTGAAGGTTTTATGTAATGATTTTAAAAGGCTTATTAGATATGGATTGATTTATGGCTTATGACAGTTAAATAAGATGTTAGATTGAATAAAAATTAATTAAAGGTCTGAACTTAATAATAAGGTGTTTGTCTACTTATTAATATGTTTTGGATATAGTAACTTTAAAGAAATATGATATTGATATTGAGGGATTGATTGTTAGATTATAAAGTAGAATAGAAACAGAAAGGTATTTTTTTCACTTTTTTCCGTTTTGTTCTTTGTTTTTTTTCTTTGTTCTTTTTCTTTTCTGATATGAACTAATATACTTTTATATATATACATTAGAACTGATAGTTACTTTGTAACGGAAGAAGAATAGGGAAAAATAAGAAATGATATTAATAAATGTTTATTGAATATGTTAAGGAAAAAGGAGACTCCCGAAGTGTTAACTATGTACTTAGATTAGAAATATGGAATATAGTAATTGAAATAAGTAAACTTCATACAGGATCTGGATTTGTGGATCTATTTAGATGAAAGGTTATTGAGGATTGATAGGATTGATCGAGTTGTATTGAAATATATCAATTTGAATATAATATGTTATTAGAGGGAAAAGAGAGGGGTTTTTTTAATCATTTAATCTGAATTTTATGAGTATGACTTTGTTGTGTGGATAATTGATTGCCCTGCCACCACGTTGTTTCGTAAGCACTTGTCTGTAAAATGAAAAAAACAATAAAACGTGTTTTTTGTTTTTTGTTTTTAAAAAGAAACCATGTATGCAAAGACATCTTGATTGTTAGGAACTTTAGTGATGTGCTGATATGCATACATATAAACTGAGTCCTCGACTTAGGACCACAATTGAGCCCCAAATTTCTTTTGCTAAGAGATGCAGCTGTTAAGTGAGCCTGGGCCCATTTTGCAACTTTTCTAGCAGCAGTTGTTAAGTGAATTGTTGCACTTGTTAAATAAGTCAAATGGTTGTTAAGTGAATCTGGCTTCCCCATTGACTTGGTTTGTCAGAAGGTGTTTGCAAAAAGGGATCACATGACCCTGGGATACTGCAACGGTCATAAATATGAATCAGTTGCCAAGCATCGGAATTGTGATCATGCGACCCTACGGGGGCTACAGCAGTCATAAGTGTGAAAAATAGCCATAAGTCATGAGACACTTTTCTCAGTGTATCTACAGGCACGCACACAGACACACCAATGTATCCAACTAAGTATAAAGCTTTGAAGTTTTTAAGTTAATGCCTAAATTATAACAGAGCAAAGCTATTCGTAGTTTCCATTTCTTGATTTCCATTTCACAGACATCAGTAAGCCGAGCTTGAGTTGACATTGCCAGTACCATGCCAACATTGGTACTGGCAGGCAAAGAAATTCCCACTTTTCTAGAAATTCTTATTCAATTTGTGGAAAGAATTTTCTCAAGAAACTAAAGACAATTTTTGAGCAATCCTCAATCATGGAATCAGCCCATCTTATACTTGACTAGATACAAGGTGGTCAAGATATTTTACATCCTATACTGCATTTGCATTTCAGTGTGTTTAGTTATAGTATTAATATTATTTTCCACATTTGCAGGAAATTTGAAAACCGAACATGGTTATGCCCAACAGCATGTGTAAAAATTCTGGAAAATAAGATCATTGTTCAAGCTAGGACTGTGGGTCTGCATCTCTAGCAGCTGATTTGCATGGTTTGGTTAACCAGGTCAATAGAGACCCTGCAGCTGCCTCTATGGAACACCTTTCAATTCATTAGAGTTAACCTTGGTGAGTGGTTTTGCATATTGTGCAAATTTAGGCCTTTTGATTAGCTTGGGGTTCAGTTGGTTATGCAAATGGAGAGACTGGGATAACCTCATCATTGGGTATGTCCTGCAAACACAGCCATGTCCTACCTCAAGGGTTAATTGTATTTATTTACTTCTATCCCACCTTTAAACTTTTTTAGAAATAACAAGGCTGTGAACATACCTAATACTTTTTTCTTTCCCTTCTCCCCCCCCCCCCAACAACCTTGTGAGGTGGGTTGGGCTGAGAGAAAGTGACTGGCCATCTCCTAGTTTCTAGCCTGGTGCCTTAATCACTATACCAAACTGGCTAATCCATGGTTTGTTGGACAAGCCCAATCACAAATAATGCTAAGGCAGAATTGGATTGTTTAAAATCCCACAACTTTATAGGGCTGCACATCAAAGATGGCTTCTGGGAGGTGTTGTTTTTTAAGTGTTTCCATTCTGGTCACAACACATTTTAAAAATCAGCAGGGCTCGCCTGGTTATGAATAAAGAGAACTTTTCCAACAAGCGCCTGGAGCAGGGGTCTTCAAACTTGGCCCTTTTATGACTTGTGGACTTCAACTCCTCGTGCTGGCTGAGGAATTCTGGGAGTTGAAGTCCACAAGTCATAAAAGGGCCAAGTTTGAAGACCCCTGGCAAATGGTCTCTGAGCCTTCAAAATGTTGTTGTACTACAATTCCCAGCATTCCTCATTGTCAGCCCTGCAAAGATGCAAATGCTGGTTTCTCCAACTAGGTTTTAAAGCTTTACCTGGGTCACTCAGTGCTTCTGGTCTGGATTGCTTGCTAGCTGGTGGGAGGTGAGAGTGGGGAGAAGAAAACAAAAGATAAATTATTTTGTTACTCTGATTTTGAAAGAAATTACATTTTATATAAATATCTGGAGACTTACTGATTCTTCCTGTACTGATTCTTGTCTTCACTACTTCCAGACTGGGGGAAGGGGGGGAATCAAAAAGTACAACATAAGTGGGAAATATGATTTTAGGTAGTATCAACTATCTTCAGTACCCTTCTAATGTCTTACCAGGCTGTCTGGGTATCTCTGGCTTTGATCTGTAGATGCTCTAGATGGAGGAGGCTAGAGTGGAGAAAGAGCAGAGAAAACAGAAATTTGTGGTCAATTCTGATTTTGAATAAAGTTAATATATTTCCTATAGAGATCCAGTTTGATATAGAGATTGAGACATCAGGCTAAACACTGGGGGACTGTGAGTTCTAGTTCTGCTTTAGGCACAAAGCCAGCTGGTGCCTTTGGGCCAATCACTCTATCTCAGGCCCTGAAGGAGGCAATGGCAAGCCTCGTTCTGAAAACCTTGCCAAGTAAACCACACACAGTCTCTGCAAATTGGACACAACTGAATAAAAGGGAACAAAATTCCCATAAAGGTGAGGAAGATATTCAGCTTGGTGCCTGCATGACGGCCTGGCTTGAGAAGCACAAGGGACATAGGCCCAGGTGTTCAGATGGGCGACAAGACAAAATCAATGCTTTCAGCTTTACAGGGGCTTGGGGTACCTGTTTTACTCATTAGCTGCTCCTCCAATGGAAAAATCAGGCCACTTTTAATGGATGCAACTTATCCTTTAGGCCAGTGGTTTTCAACCTGTGGTCTGTAGACCTGAGGGGCTGTGATGCCATGGGGTTCGCAAAGGCTTGAAGAAATGTTATGATTTAAATCTTAACTCTTGGGGGTCCATGGCCATAGTCCGTGGCCACAAAAGGTATTTAAAGGGGGTCCATGGTGAAGAAAAGGTTGAGAACCTCTGCTTTAAGCCACACATTGGCCAAGGGTTGCCAAATCCAAGTATAGAGACTTACTGCACTCATTTCATTGTTTTGGCCAGAATCCATAGAACTTTCAGTCTAAAGAAGGACAGACAAAGAAGAAGATACAAATCAGGTGGTGGTTCTAATCTGAAGGACGTACTGGATCAGGGGTGTCCAATTTTGGTGAAATTTAATAGTTTTAACCATGAATATGGATGCATTATTCTAGGGATTATTTATAAAAGGGCAAAAATCACCTACAAACCCCTCCTTCCACACAGCCACAAAGGTGGCCCCATGTCTGATGACTTCCTCCTATTGTCAGGATAATAAAAGCTGTGGTGGGGCAGTGGTTAGGATGCAGTATTGCAGGCTAATTCTGCCGGCTGCCAGGGGTTCGATCCTCACCAGCTCAAGGTTGACTCAGCCACCCATCCTTCCAAGGTTGGTAAAATGAGGACCCAGATTGTTGGGGATGATATGCTGCCTCTTTAAACTGCTTAGAGAGGGCTGTAAAGCACTGTGAAGTGGTATATAAGTCCAAGTGCTATTGCTTACTGCTATGTTCTGCAATGCTTAGGGGAAAAAATGAGTCCCCAGATTTTTTTAAAAAAACTATTCCCCTCTTGCAATCTTACCACGTTTGACTGCAAGGTATCTCGTTGAGTCATTCCTGCAGGCTAGCAGAGAGAAAGATGGGAAATAGTGAGTAGGGAAACTTGAGTTGTCAAAGAATACCTGTTACATTGTAATTGTGTTACAGTATCCCTTTGTCAACACTTTCCCCACCCCAGGTACTCAGTGCGGAAGAAAGAATTGTGTTTATAACCAAAAATTGGAGATGGCCCTATTCACGGGTTCTTGGTGCTCTCTGAGCTTGGTTGCTGCAGATGTTTCATTACCAAACTAGGTAACATCATCAGTGCATCTCTTGCTACCTCCTTCTCCTCTTTCAAGATAATGAGCTTTCTCTTTTTCAGCCAATGATGTCCCTAGTATTCCGCCATCTTTGGGGGGATTGTGTGGTTGTTTACTACCTTGGACATCAACTAAAGCACTATTCAATAGTATGTTCAATTTCAAAACCCCGCTTCAAACATGCAAAAGAGGAGCCAAACAACATTAAGAGATTTGCGGAGAATAGATTGTATATAAGATCCGTATAGCCAAGGCGATGATTTGCCCAGTAATAATGTATGGCTGTGAGAATTAAATCATATGGAAAAATTTAGAATTGTGGGGTTGGAGAAGACTCTTGAGAGTCCCTTGGGCTGCAAGGAGATCAAATCAGTCAATCCTAAAGGAAATCAGCCCTGAGTGTTCTTTTGGAGGAGAGTTACTGAAGCTGAAACTCAAATATTTTGTCCACCAAATGAGAAGAGAGGACATTGGAAAAAAACATGATGTTGGGAAAGATGGAAGACAAAAGGAGGAGACGGCAGAGGATGGGATGGTTAGATAGTGTCATCGATGCAATGAACATGAATTTGGGCAAACACCGGGAGACGGGAGGACAAGGGGCCCCGGTCTGCTGCAGTCCATGAGGTCATGAAGAGTTGGACACAATGTAGTGATTGAACAATAAAGATTGTATATGTATGTGGATATGTACCTATTGAGGGACATATACATGCCTAGATATATTGCTATTATCTCCTTACCAAAGTTGTTCGACGAATCTGGACCTTTTCTGGATAGCTTCCTGGCATCTACAAAAACAAAGTATCAAGCATCACAATAAAACTAAGGCAGTCCTTGACAAACAAACATTAACTGAACACTGACTTACAATCCTCACAGTTAGAAACATCACAGAATCCCCACGGTCAACTGATGAAAATTCAGCCGCTTGGCAACTAGCATGTATTTAGGACAGTTGAAATGTCCCAGGGTCATGTGAATGCCACCTGCAACCTTCCCAGTTGGCTTTGGACAAGCAAAGTCAATGGGGAAGCCAGATTCTCCTTAACAACTGAGTGACTCATCTAACAACTGCAGTTATTAGCTTAACAAATTGCACCAAAAAAGGTCCGCAAATCAGGCACGACTTACATAAGGCCCATGTTGCTTAGCAATAGAAATTCTGGTCCCAATTGTGGCCATTGAGGACCATGTGCATAGCTGTGTTACAGTTGGGATACAGATTGTCTTTTGTCCGACCTGATATACTTAGCTTTAATCTTGGGTACATTTTTAGTGTGTTAATGCATTGTGCAAATCAGTAAAACAGATCAACTTTTTAACTGGGTTAAGTGCACTCTATAAACTCAAATGTTAAGAGTAGAAGCAAACAGGAGAGAAAAAGAGGAAGGGATGTTCAAATTCATGTTTATGGTTATGTCTTTATGAAGAAAGCATCCTCCATATCAGAACTAAGGATGTTGGGAATTATCGTCCAACACATCTAAGAAGGTACCAGCTTGGGATGGCAGATGCAAAGGAGAAGCTTTCTCCTTTGTCCTTCTTCTCTGTCCACTATTTACAGTGGTAACCTGGTACTCAACTGCTTTGAAACTCCAAATTTGGTAGTCAACATATTTTGACATGAAAATTTTGTTCCCATACTCATTGTTTGTTTGGTACTCAACCCACAAGCTAGAACTTGTCAGTGGCAGCTGCCTTGTGACTCACTACATTATTCCTTATGGGAAAATTTTGCTTGTACTCATTGTTTTTGGTACTCATCACGCTTCCCTGAACCAATTAACAATGAGTACCGAGGTACCACTGCACATGAGAATGCTTTCAATCCATCTCTTTGACTTTTGGCATGAGTCTGTAAAGCGGAGTGCATATCTGAAGAATCCAAGCTCCATGTCAGAATCCAATTATACTTCATCCCCAGTTATCAATTATAGAAAACCCCATTTCTGCCCTCTCTGGATTCTGTCATAAAGAAAGAGAAGGGGGTGAACAAAAGGGCTTTATGGCCCTCACTTCCTTTGGTACAACTTCAAAGAGTTTGAATGTGGATAGCACCAAAAGACCTTATCATAACAAAGGAAGCTATTTACCTTTCATGTAGTTTTCTCTGAAGTCTCCATCCAGTCGGCAGAAAGGAAAAAAGGGGTGGGATTGTGATGCCTGAAACTGTCACTGGAAGAGGGGGGTGATTGGGTGGGATTACTGGGGAACCCCTTAAAACCTCGAATGGGAGAGCTTGGACCCCAAGTCCTGTCTAGAACGCCTGCAACCATTTTCTCTTAATAAAGGATTCCTGTTGGAAGAATTATTCCAAGAGTTCTGTCTTCTTAAGATGCAAAGTGGGGTTGGTCCTTACATTAGACAGGATTTGCAAAATTAATCCACCTGGAAGGGAGACCCTTGCCGGGGGATTTTGCAAAAAATTACCATGTCAGACAATGGAGCAAGAAAGGGGGAAAACTCCCTGGAAAGAGAGCCGCTGACCAAATTGGAACCTTGTCAGATGTTGGGATCCGAGAGGTCAGATTCCTCAGGAGAAGAAGTGGTGGAGACACGGGACCACAAGCCTCACTGGTCAATGGGCGTTGGAAAGAAAAGTGAGTGGGGAAAGGAATCAAGAAAGTTGACCCTGAGACAGGGGACCAAGTAACCAGAATGGAAGCAGGAGATGGAGAAATCCCTGCACGCAAGTGAAGAGGGAGAAAGCTGGGCACCGTACTCAGACTGGATCCTAGAGAAAGCTATTGACCTGATGAAGAGAACTCTCAGCTCCCTAGGAGAGGAGAATCCTGAGCCCTACGGCCGCCCCAGCTCCTGGAGCCGCAAAGGGAGAGATACCGAGGGGGACGTGGAACCTGCAACCCCGGGGACATCTGCTGATCCAGTAGTCCAGGCAATCTGGACGGAAGACACTACCACCAACAACAGAGGCACCGATCCATTCCAAGACGTCCGCCGTTGGAGGTGAAATTCAAAGGGGAGCCAACACGCTTGGGGTTTTTCCTAACCCAAGTCCTCAGCTACATGGAGGAACACGGGCAGGACATTCCCAGCGACAAAGCCCGCATCCGGATCGTGCAATCTGCCCTGGATGGACCGGCTGCAGATTGGGTGGTGAACTTGCATGACTCCAAGGCCCCAGAACTCAGTAACTTCAACCGTTTCATGTCCTCTCTGAGAAGATGATTTGAAGACCCCCTGGCTGATCGCAAAGCCCGTGAAAGGATAAAAACGATGAGGCAAGGCAAACGCCCGGTGGCTGAATATACACAAGAATTCCGGGCCATTGCAAGCAAACTGAATTGGCCAGAAGACATCCTCCTTAGCCATTTCAAAGACAGACTAAATTATGATCTATATGACGCTTGCCTGCCCCGAGGGGACCCACACCAACTTGAGGAATGGTACATCTTGGCAGAGGAAACAGAGATCGACATATTGAAAAGACACCGCTGAGGAAAACAATGGAGCCGCCCCCCCGCCTGAGCTGACACACGAACCGGTGAAATCATCGGCTACAGCCAAGAAGCAAATGGGGTGTTTCAAGTGCGGAAGAGAAGGGCATCGAGCTGTAGAATGCCGCTCCAAAGCCTCCCAGCACAACCCAGACAGATCCCCAATCAACAATTCAAGAAAGTCTTCAGCTAAGCCAAAAGAAACTGCCATGAGAATGATGGAAATTGCGGAACCCCCCACTTCTGCTCACCAAGGGGAAAGAACTCCAGCCTACACCACAGGGCCGGTGGATGCCTCAGATGACAGCTCGGAGGGCAAACCCCTGGTAAGTGGACACATCACACCCATCCTCAAGACAATGACTATATTAATTCCCCCCATGCCCAAAGCTGTGAAGGTGAAAGCCTTAATAGACTCTGGCTGCACTCGCTGCCTCATTAGCCCAACACTAGTGGGGAATCTGGGCATCCAATCGAGGAGGCTGGAACAACCAATCTCATTTGGCCAGTTAGATGGATCCATAGCAGGGGGGGTTCCAGCTACCCTAGCCACTCTACCAATACACCTCTCCCTGGGCAAACATGAGGAGGACATAATGTTTGTGGTGACCCCAGGCATGGAATGCCCAATGATCCCAGGGATGGACTGGTTGAAAAAATGGAACCCCTGGGTAAATTGGAGGATGACAGAAATCAAATTCCCGAAGGGGACCCTATGGACTTAAAACCCCAAGGGAGGCTACCAGAATCAAGAATAGAAAAAGCATCCATAGGAGAGGAAAAAAGATTAACAGAAATACCAGAGGAATATAGAGACCTTGCTGAAGTTTTCAGTGAGGAGAGGGCAAATGAGCTCCCCCCCCACCGACCCACGGACTGTACCATTGAATTCAAGCCTGGGGCAAAATTCCCGAAGCCCAGATTATACTCCATGAGCCCAAAGGAGAAGGAGGAAATGGAAAGATTCATAAAAAAAATACTAGAGAGAGGTTTCATTGAGCCAGCCAAGCCTAAAGTGGCTGCCCCAGTCCTGTTTAGAGAGAAGAAGAATGGCTCTTTACGTTTATGCGTGAATTATAGGGCCCTGAATACAATCAGTGAAAGCAACCTATACCCTCTGCCCCTCATGCAGGACATGCTGTCACACCTATCGAAAGGGAAAAATTTTTCTAAACTAGACCTAAGGGAAGCTTACTATCGTGTGAGAATTAAGGAAGGGGACGAATGGAAGACCGCATTTAACTGCCCCATGGGGTGCTATCAATTCAAAGTCTTGCCATTTGGATTACAAGGGGGCCCTGCAGTCTTTATGCAATTAATCAATGACGTTCTAAGAGAGCACCTGTTTAAGGGGGTCCTTGTTTACTTGGACGACATTCTTATCTTCACCGAAACAAAAGAGGAACATGTCAACCTTGTCAGAGCAGTTTTAAAGAAACTGCGAGCCGCCCACCTATATTCCAAACTCTCAAAATGCGAATTCCACCAGGAAAGGATAGACTACCTAGGTTATCGCATATCCCCCCAGGGCATTGAAATGGACCCAGAGAAGGTCAAAGCAGTATTAGATTGGGCACCACCCCACACAAGAAAGCAACTACAAAGTTTCCTGGGCTTTGGAAACTTTTACCGCCAATTCATCCCCTCATTTTCACAGATAGCCTTGCCCCTCACTAACTTACTAAAAATGAAGGGAGCATCCTCAGTAAAACCTAGCCAGCCACTAACATGGACAATGGAGTGCCAAGCAGCGTTTGAGAGACTAAAGAGACTTTTTTCTGCTGAACCAGTACTAAGGCACCCAGACATGGACAAGTCCTTCGTAATACAGGCAGATGCAAGTGATGTGGCAGTGGGGGCTGTTCTATTACAAGAAAATGATGATGGAGTATTGCAACCCTGTGCATATACATCCAAGAAACTCACGGAAACAGAACAGCGCTGGCCCATATGGGAGAAGGAGGCATAAGGGATACGTTGGACATTACTCACATGGCGACAGTTCCTGGAAGGCAACAAAATCCCCTTCCAGGTGTGGACTGATCACAAAAATTTGGAAGCCCTGAAAACGTCCAGGAAACTCAATCCCAAACAAGCCCGCTGGTCCCAGCATTTTCACCAGTTCCAATTTAAGCTCAAACATTTACTAGGGAGAAAGAACTTCCTGGCAGATGCACTATCTTGCATACCCCAATATAACAGCACATGAGCCACAGACTCTAAACCAATGATGGCAGAGTCACAACTGGCAGCACCAGTAACCACAAGAACCCAAGCCAAATTAAAACCACAACTGGACAGCCAAACTGGAATTGAATTCAGAAAAAGTTTGGAAACAGATGAATGGTTCCAGAAAAACAAAAAATGTGTGCACAATGAGAGAAGGGTTGCCCTGGGTAGGGGAAAAGTTATATATACCAACAACCCAAAGAGTCACTTTCATGCAGCTTTGCCATGACACAAAATCAGCAGGGCATTTTGGATTTGTAAAAACTTTACATTTAATTAAACGGCAATTTTGGTGGCCATCCATGAAAAAGGACATAGAAAGTTATGTGGCCAGTTGTCCAAAATGTGCCACTGCAAAGAGGTTGCAAGGGAAATCGCCAGGACTATTGCAAACAGTGGCAAGTCCCTCAGCCCCCTGGAGAGAAATAGCCATGGATTTTATAGTGGAATTGCCAGAAAGCAAAGGGAATACTGTGGTCTGGACGGTCACGGACTTGTTTTCCAAACAGGTGCACTTTATCCCTTGCCAAAAGATTCCCACTGCAAAAGCCTTAGCAAACCTTTTCATCCAACACATTTACAGATTGCATGGGGCACCCCAACGCATCATCTCTGACAGGGGGGTGCAATTTACGTCTGCATTTTGGAAGGAATTTTTATCCCTCTTAGGAACCACTCAGGGACTGACATCTAGCCACCACCCTCAAGGAAATGGGGGGCTGAAAAATGAACTCCGTACTTAAGCAATATTTAAGATGTTTTCTTAGTTTCCAGCAGACCGAGTGGGCGGACTTACTCCCTTTTGCAGAAGTTGCCTACAATAATGCAGTCCACTCCAGCACAGGTTACACTCCTTTTCAAATAGCTACCAGTCAAAGTTTCAACCCCATGCCAGAGTTAACCCCAAACGAACCAACGATCCCTTCACTGAAAGAATGGATGGAAAAACTACAAAACACCTGGCCAATAATTAGAAAAGCACTAGATTAAGCTATGCAGGCATACAAAGCACAAGCCGATAAAAAAAGTGTTGAGCCTACATCATTCATTATAGGAGAAATGGTGTACTTATCTACAAAATACCTAAAATCCCTACAGCCCTGTAAAAAACTTGGACCAAACTATATAGGACCTTTTCCAATTAAGAGAATCATAAATCCAGTAACAGTAGAATTAGAATTACCCAAAAATCTCAGGCAAATACACCCAATTTTTCATTGCAACTTGCTGAAAAGAGAGCATCAGTCACCTCTACGGCCAAAAATCCCCCCCACCACCACCTCCAATCATGGTGGAGGGCGAACAACACTTCGAAATAAAGGAAATCCTTAACTCTAGGAGATATCATGGAGCGACTCAGTACCTAGTTGCCCTGAAACATCTCCCTCCCTCACAAAACGAGTGGGTCCATAAACGTCATGTCAGAGCCCCGAAGCTATTGAAGAAGTTTCACACAGAGTATCCTAACAAGCCTGACTAACTTTTATACCTGTTTTGTTTTCTTTCAGGTGGATCTCTCTTATTTTTAAGGGGGCCAGATATCAGAATCCAATTATACTTCATCCCCAGTTATCAATTATAGAAAACCCCATTTCTGCCCTCTCTGGATTCTGTCATAAAGAAAGAGAAGGGGGTGAACAAAGGGGCTTTATGGCCCTCACTTCCTTCAGTACAACTTCAAAGGGTTTGAATGTGGATAGCACCAAAAGGCCTTATCATAACAAAGGAGGCTATTTACCTTTCATGTAGTTTTCTCTGAAGTCTCCATCCAGCCGGCAGAAAGGAAAAAAGGGGTGGGATTGTGATGCCTGAAACTGTCACTAGAAGAGGGGGGTGATTGGGTGGAACTACTGGGGAACCCCTTAAAACCTTAAATTGGAGAGCTTGGACCCCAAGTCCTGTCTAGAATGCCTGCAACCATTTTCTCTTAATAAAGGATTCCTGTTGGAAGAATTATTCCAAGAGTTCTGTCTTCTTAAAATGCAAAGTGGGGTGGGTCCTTACACTCCATGTGAATCCCTAAGAGGCTCTGTGATGCAGTTAGGTTAGAAGCGAGAAGACCCAGGTTTTAGTCAGCCTCAACCATGAAACTCATGAGTGATTTTAGAGAGTCAGTCTTTCAATTTGACCTGTTTCACAACTGGTTATGGGAGGGTTTAGGACTATGAAGCCACCTTGAGCTTCTCAGGGAAAGATAAGCTAGAAATCCATAGGAGGAGGTGGAAAAGGAATCCCTCCTCATCCCAAAACACCAAGTAGGGACCCTAGAGCCCCTCTAAAGGCCAAGAACAGGCCTTATCTTTATTCATAAAAGATTTAGTGAATCAATGCTCAGTGTTCTCAAGTTGGAGTGAATGAAACTCAACAAGTTGAAAAATCCCCGTGTCGTCATGAACATGCATGGAACGTCTATTTTGAGAGACTACATTTCCTCTGGAACTAAGCGTGGTGCATCTCTCCCACAATGGCTGAAGGGAGAGCCACCCAGGAAATTCTTACCGAGTTCCTCTGTTGTTTGTCGAATTTTGCTGGCTAGAGAAGGGAGAAACAGTGAAAATGAAATTGATAAGTGGCAAAGAACATTGGTACAAATGAGACTTCTCTGGAAGGGCTGTCTGGGTAGCTGAATCCAGGGCTTAAATACTACTTCCTATTTCACCTCTTTCCTAAGTTTACATGCACATTTTCTAAAATCCATCCATTCATCATCCTTTAATTTTAAAAAGTGCGTGCCTCACATTTCTATCTTGTGATTCCAAGTGACTTACAAAATCTAAAATTCAGTAAGGAAAATCAGCAGCAACTGACCAAACAACCATTCATTTCTTATGGGAGAAGGAAAGGGAAAACCCGGGGAGGGGTGAAAAAAAGGGCTTAGCCTAGAATCCCTACATAGCCACAAGCAAATTAAGTGCAACCCTCCCTTTATCTAACTCTAACCAGGTGCTAACTGTTGAAAAGATTCCTGAGCATAGGCCTTTAGCAACAAATCAGCTTAATTGAAACTTCATCTGCCTTTGGATGCAGAAAAATGGACAGCTTCTGCTGTGTCACCAGCTTCATTGGGCTTTTTGCAGACCAATAGGAGAAAGGCAAAAATAGCCCAAAAGTCAGTCCAATATTCTTACCAAAGTTTGTCGGCGTCCCGTTGTAGATTCGTCCAGCTGCAGGGTAGGAAAAGCAGAGAACAAGAGATGTCAGGACTTAACGTGAAGTGTATCATCCTTATCCCTTTGAGTTCTAATGCTCTCCATATACTGTTTGGTGAACAGGACCTGGATGAAACCTTATGCTCACTAGCATGTACAGAGTCCCATCTCCTTTTGCAACCCACAAAAGCTCCTGACCACAGTCATTCATCTTTCCCATTGTTTTGAGGCAGAAAATACAACATCTGTAATGCAAGCACTGCAGTATATTCAATATGGTTTTAAAAGAGAAAAAGTATCCCCCCCCCAAAAAAACCCCACAAGTGCATTATTCACTTTGAATTATTGCCCCATCGATTGTGACCTTTGCCACAGAGAAGCCCAGAGTCACTTGATGGACTTGGGCAGCTATAGGATATGAATGGATGTATGCATGCATGCATGCATGCATGGATGAAGTGAAATGAAATGAAATGAAGTAATGTGAGGTGAGGTGATGATACATGTGACATGAATTGTCCCCCAGACGATGCCCATGGCCTTCCTTCTCCCCCCCAAAAATAAGGTGTAGCCCCAGGCACCAAAGGGAATTTCATCACTGCTTTAGGAACTGAACACAAAGATGGGGTCATTATAGAATTAGAGAGTCCTGGCCACCACCCCACATTAGCCTGTGCCAATGTGAATTGAACCCAGGCAGGGCAACCAAGCCCACTCTTCTACTTACTGCAGATTGTCGCAAGGCTCTCATGGCTGCTGATTTTATCTCTCCTTTCTGGTACTCTCTATCAAGTAAGTGTGACTGTGCAAGAAAGATACCCAAGGGAAAAAAGGTGAACAAGGGATCCAAGATGGTATACATGAAAAATATAATTGCATTTTTTATTCTGAAGCGCCAATGGTTGTGCTCATGCAACATACTGAGCTCCTAGAAACTATATACAGTACAGTATAGCACGGGTCCCCAACCCCTGGTCCGTGGACCAGTACCGGGCCACGGCATGCCAGCAACCAGTCCGCAAAACAAGCAAAGCCCCATCCATGGGATGCAGGCAGCACACAAAACCACGCACTCTCTGGTCCATGGAAAAACCTCTCTCCATGGAACCAGTCCCTGGTGTCCAAAAGGTTGGGGACCTCTGCAATATAGGACAAAGTATATATATTGAACCAAGTAAAATATAAACCCAGTGCCTGTATTAGCACAACATTATAGCTGGTTAGCGCTAACTAGGGAGGTAAGTTAGTACAGGTAGTCCTTGACTTATAACCATTTCTTTGGTGACTGTTCAAAGTCACAGTGGCACTGTAAAAAGTGACTTGCAACTGGTCCTCACAGTGTCTGTCAAGAATCCTTCTGGTCTCTTGATCAAAATTCAAGTGGTTGGCAACTAGCATGTATTTAAGATGGCTGCAATATCCCAGGGTCACATGACTGTCATTTGTGATCTTCCCAGTCAGCTTCCGACAAGCAAAGTCAATGGGGGGGGGGAAACGGATTCACTTAATGACTGCACAATTCATGTAACAACTGCAGTGATTTGCTTAATAAGACGACAAAAGTAAAATTGGGTAACAATTCACTTTACAATCATCTTGCTTAGCAACAGAAATTCTGGTCCCAATTGTGGTTGTAAGTCAAGGACTTTCTGTATATCATGTGAATTTCTGGTTTCAGTTTTCCAGCCCCCTTAATTCGTGTGTGGTACAATACATGCACACATCTAGAAGCTGAATTAATTCAGTAATTAGCTGTAGGTACTGTGTAGTCTCAGTTGTTCAATAATGCGTCTTGCCCATGGGTAAATTACTTTGCTCCCAATATAATCATTCGACATAGGATTGAAACTCTACCTTCTCCAGGTTCATCAGCGTAGACAGAACATCACCAGTCTTTGCATAAATTGTATTGTTGGCAATCATTGTTTCTGAAATGTTTGCCCCACGGATGTTTCGAAGCACAATCTCCTGCTCCTGATCTACATTGAATTTGAGGGACCTCACCTCCTGGACTATTCTATGGAGATCAAAGTCCAAAATCAAATAAATCTAGGGATGATTTCCATGAATTACATTGGCACCAAATAGCATGTAAACTTGGGCAATGCTTTGACATTTTAAAATAGACTTGCATGTCTAGAGTAGACTGTCTAATCCCTCTCCTATGACTCATTCCCCATGAGTCCATGACCATCTATATAACATTTCTCAGTTCCATTTCCATTGCTAGGAGCAACTCTGATGTCAGTTGGAATCAACACATGTGCTCCTTATAATGTGAAGATGTCTACAAAAGAGATAGAATTTGAGCAACAGAAATTAATCTTACCAGCATGACTTCTAACTCAGTTAATTAGAGTTCATGGCAAAAAGAACACAACAAGCTTGCTTGGCAAAGACCTGGCCTGAATTAACTGGCCGTGGTCCTGTTCCCCTTGGAGCAAGCTCAGATGTGTGTTGAACTTTCCCCAGAGCCCTCTCTCTCCACCCCCTAGGGTGAGAGGGGATTCATTCCCATCATGCCAGCAGAGGAGGCATGCTACGGGTCCCATCAGCCCAATTATTCTGGCTGGGGGGTCCAGGAGGAGGGACTTCTCTGCTGTTGCTCCTGCCCTCTGTAACATCTTACACTCACCCCATGTGAGGTTGGCCCCAACCCTCCTTTCCTTTCATAAGGGTCTCAAGACCAAAGGGGAACAGCATAGTGAAATAGCTGATCGTCTTCTCTATTTGTACTAGGAGCTAAAGTGCAAAATTAAAGATTAAAAAATTAAGTTAAATCTAGATTAGTGAAAGATAGATTATCGTCCTACATTTATTTTTCTGCCATTCCTTCCTTGTGTGTAGTAGCAAAGGGGAAGTATTCATCTCACCCCTAGAAAGAAGGCAGCAATGGCCAATCACTTTTGGAATCTTGTCCCCCAAAAACATCAGCAGCAATTAGTCCAAGTGGCTGCCAGGAGTCAAAGGCACAAAAAAACTTGTAAATTTATGTATATATACCAAGATGTGCCCATTTGGGAAGGAAGGGAAGGGAAGGGAAGGGAAGGGAAGGGAAGGGAAGGGAAGGGAAGGGAAGGAAGGAAGGAAGGAAGGAAGGAAGGAAGGAAGGAAGGAAGGAAGGAAGGAAAGGAATTTTATATAGAAAAGGAAATTAAGTGCCCAGTAGAGTTATATATTTGGAAGAATGTTACTGTGTTTTTTTTTTCAGTTCGTATCCCAACTTCCTACCATAAGGGCTAATGGTAAAAATATTAAATAAAATTAAACCTAAAATCTGGCTTTACATAAACTAAGCTTCATGTTGCGATTAACTAAATATAATTACTGCATTTGCAGGTCATGATGTGTCCAGTTCCACAGAGATCTCAATGTAGTAATCAAGTTGTGGTATGATTGCACTATAGATAACTGTTGTTAGCTGGCTACATTAGAATAGCTTCCATTCTAAGGTGGGGAAAAAACAAAGGAATAGTAGGACTTACTGGTCCAATTCATCCCTGATCATTTGATATTCCTTTAAGTTCTCATGGATCGCTTCCAAGACAAGGCAGAGATCTTCACAAGTTGTCTCATTCAAGTTGGCCAAATTGCCAAAGCTGAGCAACTCCTGATGATGGACCATGGGTGTTCCCTGAATAACTTCCTTTATATGCACCGCTTCTGACTGGGATGCAGTGAAGTCATCATCGGTGCCATCCTGCTCAAAAATCCATACGATTAGGCAGCCCTCAACTCATCCAAACACCATAAAGTAGGGCTGCCCCTCTATTGAATGAGCGGCTTCTACATATAATTTATTTGATCTGACCCTTGCAAGCTCCTGTGCCATTTTCAGGGTCCAGAGACTAGGCATACTGCCCTACATGCAGTGCTTTTTTTCCCCACTTGGCTTCCCCAAGTCTTGACATTACAAACTCACATCAAATCCAGCAAAGCCTCCAAGGGAAGGAAAATTGGTTTTCAATTGCTTCTTCTCATGATACGCGGCCATAGATTGTTCCAAGTTGGTTGTCACCACAGCCACCAGCAGATTTGCAAAGATGAAGGCCCCAAAAGTGATGAAGATAAAAAAGTAGAGGGCCCCACCTATCTCTAAGGCTTTACCTTCATGTCTGTGAGGGAAAGAAGACATGCAGTCATTAAAGGAGCCTTTTGTAAATATCTCAAGGTAATATGGCTTTGAGTCAGGCTTGTTCATCCCTCCTGGGGCTCAGGACCAGCCTTATCTTTATGGACAGGGAGGTGACCAAGAGATAAGACCCTCCTTTCTGTTGGAGAAGAAAGTTGCATATATCAAGTTGCACTTGATTCCTTCAGACTAAATACATTGGCTGGGTTTTCGAATGCTTCTTAAATTTAATCCTTAAATTAAATTCTCTCCAATTCTGGGCATTATGATACCAAAAAAAGTTGGGCCTCTAAAAGGAGTACAGAGAAGAGCAACAAAGATGATAAGGCTAAAGGTCTGGAGGCTAAATCATAGGATGAACAAAACTAGATGTGTCTAGTCTAACAAAGTCAAGGACTAGGGGGGATGTGATAACAGTCTTCTGGTTCTTGAGGGACTGTCACAGAGAAGAGATTGATTTGTTCTTCCAAGTACTTGAGGGTAGGACAAGTAGTGAGTGGAAAATCATTAAAGAGAAATCCAACCTACATTTTTCTGACAGTGAGAACAATCAATCAGACATGTCAAACTCGCGATGTCCTGTGACATCGCGCAATGTATCGGGACGGTTTTGCCATTGCCGGCAATGGGGTAGGCATGGCTTCTGGATGACGCATCTGGCCTGTGAGCCGGCAGTTTGACACCCCTGAATCAGCAGAACAGCTTGAATCCAGAAGTTGTGGGCAAGCTGGAGATTTTCAAGAAGAGATTGGGCAGCCATTTGTCTGGAATGGTATAGGGCAGGGGTCCTCAAACTTAGCCATGGCTGGTTGGGGAATTCTGGGATTTGAAGTCCACAAGTCTTAAAGTGGCCAGATTTGAGGAACCCTGGTACAGAGTTGTTGGCTTGAATAAGGAATTGACCTAGAAGACCTCTAAGGTCCTTTCCAACCCTGTTATTCTATGTTCTATGTTCTAAATCCAGTATAATCTTTCCAAGGACTGCACAGCAGATGCAAAAGATAGCCATGTGATCCAAAAAAAAAAGATGGAAGCTGGGTGAGAATTTATTTGACATACTAATTTTGGTTAAATGTAATCTTAGGTAAAGGAGTGCTAGCCAGCCATGAACATGGAATCCTTTGGGGCAGTTTTATGATTCAAGGGCTACTTGAGTCATGTTTCACTTCACTTTCATTTAACTACTTTATCCTTGCATTCATCTGGTTAGCAGTGATATCTGAAGTGATGACTTCAGCAGAAGCTTATATTTCATTTGATCTTTTGATAAAAGTGTTCCAAGTTGAAACCATTTTGTAATTCATTTCTCCAATTTATAGGAAGTTGTCTGAGGTGTGTGTGTGTAATTATAGAGACTGCATTGTGCCATTAATGACCTCCGCAAAAAGTGTCATAAAATCAAGTCAGGTCACGAGATATCTTAACTTATGACCACAACAACTTATGACCAGACCAATTGCAGTCATAAGATGAGGACCATCTGTAATGTGTGAAAATATGATGATGAAGATGGATGGATGGATAGATAGATAGATAGATAGATAGATAGATAGATAGATAGATAGATAGATGATGGACGGACGGACAGACGGACAGACGGACAGACAGATAGATAGGTAGATAGATAGATAGATGTAGAAAAAGATTTTACTCACTCAAAGTCATTATAAATATTAATCCATCCATCCTGGGTGACGCAGATGAAAAGGGAATAAAGAGCCGTTCCCAGGTTCCCAAAATGCTTTGGAACAAGGGTGCCAAAGAGAGTCACTCCAAACACAGAGAAGACCTGCAAAAATACACAGTGAGAATGGTGCAAAAATATCTGTTTTCTGGGACACAGTTTCCCCCTTGAACTGGAAAATCACAAGAGAACATAGTAGACTAGCGGTCCCCAACTTTTGTGGCTTCGCAGCCCAGCACAGGGGGGAAGAGGGAAACTGGGGCACATGAGTGGCAGGACGATGTGCACATGGGCACACAGATCAACTTGCAAAGAGGCTACAGCCCAGCGGCGGGGGTTGGGGGCCTCTGTTGTAGACCATCTGAAATAACCATATCATTCTTCAGACTATTTTCCATGCTAGGAGAAGGACATAGATTTTTTTTCTGCTAAGGACTGCATTGTAGGCAGAAGAAAGCAACTAATAGCAAAGTTAAAGAGCCATTTTTTTCTCCCTCTCTGATACCTTCTGCCAGGTGTGAAGAATCCAGACCATATATTAAGTTGTTCAATTAATTACATTAAGTAGTTCAGAAGATTTATTGGTCAAGCCTACACACAAGAGTCTAGTCAACCATAGTTCAATACTAAATGGGCACCAGATAAGGGTTAATGGAACTCAAGAAGAGTTGGATTTAGATCATTCGTTAGAATGTAATGATTCTGATGACTCATTTAATTTTGACCCTTCTGAAGGCAAATCATTCCAATGATTAATTGTTCTCACTGTCAGGAAATTTCTCCTTAGTTCTAGGTTGCTTCTCTCCTTGATTAGTTTCCCTCCATTGCTTTTGTCTTGCCTTCAGGTCCTTTGAAAAATAAGTTGACCCCTTCTTCTTTATGGCAACCCCTTAGATATTGGAACACTGCTATCATGTCACCTCTGGTCCTTCTTTCCATTGTCAGTTCATTTCCAAACAAAAGAATTTAGCTTGGGGTATGGAGAGGAGATCTGATGAAGGCATCTTACCAGCATGATGGCAAAAAGTAGGATCATGATATTTGCCATGTCAGGAATGGACTGCAAGATCACCTGGATCATTCTTGCCAGGCCACTAACCAAGCTACACACTTGTATCAGCCTCATGACTCTAGAAGGAAAAATGGAAAATGTGTCCATGTACGTTTACATAAAGCTGACAGCTCCAAGGAGTGGCTGGTCTTAAATCATTCTTTCCCAATCCGATGCCCTCTGGATGTTCTGGGTTTCAGCACCCATTGTCACAACCAGCACAGTCAACGGACATATTTCAGAATCCAACCATTAAGGTGTAACTGGCTACCAGGACAATGTTAGGGAAGCACAGACACTAGTTTAACAGAAGATGTGGAATTAATATTTCATCTACTCTGGGGCGCACAGTAGATCATTCATTGAAATTCACACAATAATATTGTCATGGTTCCAATAGATGAAACCAATTAAAAGAACTTCAAGGCAAAGATTTCTTCCTTAAAGAACATTTTATTCAGGAAACAAAGTATTGGCACTTACATAGTTGAACCCAAGACTAAAGTTCCCTCCCCCAGGATACAAAGTAACAAGTTGCGATTCCCACCCCAGAAAGGCTGTCATAAATCACATTCACCAATTAATCCAAAATGGGGCTCAACTTCTCAGCCCACCAAAACTTTATCTAATATTGCCCTTGAGTTCACACACAGCTGTAATTGTTATGGCTAACTGGAAATGCTCAAACATTTCCCTCTACCCCCCTTCTACATCTAAAATTCCAAAAAGCAGAAATAAGCACAATGAAAGCAAAAGGTAAAATGGCTACAGTTTCCTCAATTGTCACAGTGTTGACAAATATATTATACTGTGCAGGAGAAACTGGAAACTGACAAAACCTTAATTACAGGTAGTCCTCGACTTATGACCACAATTGACCCCCAAATTTTCTGTTGTTAAGTGAGACACATTGTTAAGTGAGTTTTGCCCCATTGTATGACACTTCTTGCTGCAGTTGTTAAGTGAATCACTGCAGTTGATAAGTTAATAACCTGGTCATTAAGCAAATCTGGCTTCCCCATTGAAAATCTTTTACTGCTTCTTTTTTTTTTTTAAGCAGACAAAACCAGGAATTGAATCCAAGAATAATACATGGAAAACATGTATTCTTCCACAGAGCTGTGCTTCTTGCCTGTTACATTACTGCCATCCAGTTTGACACTATTTCAACTCTACATTGGATCAGTCCATCTGGAAGAATGTAAGATGTATCTTTATATGGGTATAAAAAGAGGTTGGGAGTTATCTGAGAATCTTCTGAATCGAAACCAGCATGAAATATCAGTTGCTAAGAATATTGGTTAAAGAGACCATTTGTTTTTGTGTCTGTCCTTATAAATTTCACAGATACATTGAGTTGAGCGTTGGATGACACAGAACAAGGACTAAATAAATCTTTGGCCTGATCCAATAGCACTCATCTTACCTTTTTATTTTATGTGCTTACCTGACCATTCGAAAAACTGTCTCATTCTCCAATAGAGGAATGATCAAACCGATGCATAGGTACAAAACAATACAAAAATTGATGATATTCCAGCCATCCTGTTTAGGGGAGAGAACAAACTCTTGAGAGACAAGGAAGGTTAGGTATATGGAAGGATGACGTTTCTCCAAATTCTGTAGTCCGGGAGTAAGGCAATTTTAGGAATTTCAGATCCAAATTGGAAGGAAGGCAGGAGTAATCCAACATCAGGGTTCTAGATAGAATTTCCTAAGAAGACCTTAGGGGAGTTGATTCATTCCGTGCTCACAGCCAGGAGGCTACCAAATATGCAGAATTTTCTTTCTCTGCACCAAGACTCTATCACATGTGGGTTATAGCAGAGCAAATATCTTATATGTCAAGGTAATAATTTAACAGCTAACCAGCTTGTATAATGTGAGGTGTATGATGTAATGTAATATAAGGTGGATGATGCAATGATAGGAATGATTCAGCAGGGTCTGTGTCTCTTAACGAGCAAGCAGGGTCTCTTAAGAGCCTGAGTATAAAAGGGAAGGCTTTTGCTGGAGTGTCTGTCTGTTCCGTTTGCTTGCTGTAACTGCTGTGTGTTGGATCCTGCTGTATTACCATGTGTATGTATATTGTTCCTGGTGTATAATATTGTAGATAGCGTAAACCACCATTTAATATAGACTACTGTTTACTGTGTTTTCTCCTGGGTTATCTCAGCACAATAAGACTGTGCATGCTCTGACATTATATATATATATCATCAATAAAATTTTCAACAAGGGAGAGGGACATTAAAGGTAGTCCTCGACTTACAGCCATTTTTTTCGAGATCATTCAAAGTTGCAACAGCAATGAAAAAAGGTGACTTGGGACCATTTTTCACTCTTACAAGTGTTGCAGCATCACCATGGTCATGTGATCAAAATTCAGATGGCAACTGGTTCATATTTATGATAGTCGCAGTGTCCCAAGGTCTTGGAGTCACCTTTTGTGACCTTCTGACAAGCAAAGTTAGTGGGGAAGACAGTTTCACTAACAACCGTGTTACTAACTTACTGACTGCAATGATTCACTTAACAACTGTGGCAAGAACAACTCTGACAAGAAAAATCATAAAGTGGGGCAAAACTCACTTAACATGTTTCGCTTAGCAACAGAAATTTTGGGCTCCATTGTGGCAATAAGTTGAGGACTACCTGTATGTATCTGTTTGCACCAAGTTTCAATGCCTGAATAAGGTTTCTTTGGACTAAGCCTTAAGACAAAACCCTTGGCCCCCTCACCTTCCAGTACAAACAGAATCCATAGTACCAGTTGAGAATGACCTCACAGATCAGAAAAGACAGCACAATCGTGTCAATGGCAGAGAATAAGCCAAAGTACTTCTGTGCAAGGAAAAGAAAAACGAAAAGAGATTTGCATGCCTCCATTTTTATAACATTTTTTTAAAGTTCTCATACTTTGCCTTTAATGCTTAGGTATTAACCTCATTTGCATAATAATGCTTACATCTGCATGCGTCTAATGAGGCCAGGATAGAGCAGTAAGCTGATTATTTATTTAATTGCTAAATTTATTTGCCACCCATCTCACCATCGGGCTACGCTGGGCGAAGATTTAAGACAACTCAGCATGCCCAGCTCACCACTGTCAGCTCGCCACCACCGAGTCACCTCTGCCAATTCACTGCCGCCAAGTCACTACAGGACAACTCCACACAACTAACTCTCCATGGGGACAACTCGCTGTGGGCAGCCAGAGGGAGAACTGGACGGGCAGGTGAGTGAGTGGGTGGACGGAGTGCGGAGCGCTGATAGCAGCCAGGAGCTTCCCATTTTCATACCTGTCGCCACCGCCATGTTGAGCACCGGGCCACCCATGGCGAGTTGTCCCTAGAGCCAGTTGGCCATGTGGGATTGTCCTGCAGCGACTTGGCAGTGGTGAGTTAACCACGCCGAGCTGGCCACGCCAAATTGTCTCATTCCATATATAGCAGAATGAGACAATATATATTTATAACAGTAAAATGGAAAAAAATAATTTAAAAAATGTACACATAACAATAGCAAAGCATTGAAACAATAAAAATACACAAGGGGAGTACAATAATATAAATTAGAAGATGGGCAGAGGGGGAGCAGGAAGCACAGGGAGGAGGAGGGGGTCAACTAATTAGTCACGTCCCATCCATTATTTACTTATTGCAGGGATAGGCACTATTTCTACAGGTAATGAGCACATTTCTGAACAGCCTGCCAGGGCGGCAGTGGATAAGATTTTCTGCCAGCTCATGGGATCCATGTGTTTTACTGTTTTATTACATTGGGAAAGTTATAGAGAACTTCTTTTTAAAAAATCAAAATAAACATGTTAACAACAAAAACAACAACAACAACAATAATAATAAAGTTGGAAGGGACCTTGGAGGTCATCTAGTCCAACCTCCTGCTCAGGCAGGAAACCCTATACCATTTCAGACAAAGGGCTGTCCAGTCTCTTCCTAAAAATCTCCAGTGTTGGAGCATTCACAGCTTCTGGAGGTAGGTTGTTCCACTGGTTAATTGTTCTAACTGTCAGGAAGTTTCTCCTTAGTTCTAGGTTGCTTCTCTCCTTGATTAGTTTCCATCCATTGTTTCTTGTTCTGCCTTCAGGCGCTTTGGAGAATAGCTTGATTTTCTCTTTTTTGTGGCAGCCCCTGAGATACTGGAACACTGCTATCATGTCCCCCCTCGTCCTTCTCTTCGTTAAACTAGACATACCCAATTCCAGCAACCTTTCCTTATATGTTTTAGCCTCCAGTCCCCTAATCATCTTTGTTGCTCTTCTCTGTACTCTTTCTAGAGTCTCAACATCTTTTTTACATTGTGGTGACCAAAACTGGATGCAATATTCCAAGTGTGGCCTTACTAAGGCATTGTAAAGCGGTATTAACACTTCATGTGATCTTGATTCTATCCCTCTGTTAATGCAGCCTAGCTTGAAGAGGTTATGTCGCCCATATTGAGTCTTTACTAAACATTTCAAACTTGCAGTGCTGAGAGTGATCTTTTGCTATCAAATTTCTGTATCATTTGTGGCCCCAAAAATGGGACTGGGGGAGTTTATGCAGTCCAAGGATCATCAGAAGACACAGGACAGTCCCTGGAGAAGCACAGGTCTTCTCCCACCTCCCACATTTTAGCAGGAAGCAGTTCTCCTGCCAGGCACAGTATACCAACCTCTTCTAGTGTTGGCTCTGTTCGGAGAGCAATGACGATGGCGTTGCCAATTACAAGAGTCGCTAACAGAATCTTGAAAGCTGGATGATGCAGGAACCTGCCCATGCAGGTTTTTGAGATAAACTCTTCCACATCCCAGTCATCCTGTTGGAGAAAGAGTGGTGTGGTTCTCTGATTATTAATTTAGCATACGATGAGAACATGTCAGAAGAGAAATAAACATATATACACAGTCCACATAATTATAAGTAAACTGAATGGTAAAAAATATAAATATAAAAAAGATGTTGAGAGAGCAAAGAAGAGCAACAAAGATGATCAGGGGGCTGGAGGTTAAAACATATGAAGAACGGTTGCAGGAATTGGGTATGGCTAGTCTAGTGAAAAGAAGGACTAGGGGTGAGATGATAGCAGTGTTCCTGTCACATGTTCCGACTAAAGAAGCACTTCAAAGAACTTTCAGGCATGTTTCCTAAAGTCTTTATTTGCAGAGCTACAATTTATGCCGGTCACCATTGGACTAGTTGATGCCAGAATCTGAACTTCCGGTCGCTGGCATCAAGCTTTCCTTGCTCAACCCCTCCCTTCTCATGCAGTCACAGGTCACATTATCCAATTAGTGAGAAGGTCAAACGTTTACTTCCTCTTTCTTTCCCGGGCTTTTTTCCCCCGCCCAGTCTAAGCTAAGTATTAACCCAATAAATGCCAGACAGTTTTGCATATTGTCAAAGCAAGAATATACAGTATTTGCAGCATTGACATCCGGCCCCCCTTACAAGAAGGACAGAACCTGTAAAGTAAACAAAAGCATATGTTAAGGGTTATCTTTCGGTTTGTTGGGGTGTTTCACATGAAACTTTTCGATCAATCTGTCAGAGTTCACTTCACTAGATTTCACCCAGGTGGCTTCAGACAATGGGTATCCCTTCCATTGTACCAAGTACTGTAATTTCCCTCTAAAGATTCTGGAGTCAAGAATACGTTTCACTTCATAGTGGGTCTGCCCTGCCACTACGAGGGGTCCAGGTGCCTTCTTTGGAGGAGGTCTCAAAGTGGAGCCCCGATAAGGCTTCAACAAACTACAATGGAAAACTGGGTGAATTTTCCCTAACAGTTTAGGGAGTTTTAGTTGTACTGTGACTGGGTTGATGACCTTTACTATGGGGAAAGGCCCCAAGAATTTTGGTCCCAATTTCTTGCTGGGCAATTTGAGGCGTAGATATTTAGTTGACAGATAGACCTTTTCCCCAACTTGGAATGTTCTTTGGGGAGCCCTCTTTTTATCAGCCTGCTTTTTATAGGTTTCAAAAGTCTTTTTTAAAGCAGTTTTTGTGTTTTTCCAAACTTCTTCCCATCCTCTCACCCATTGATCAAGTGTCTGTGAAGCGGAGGGCAACTGAGGATATTCAGGTATTGGGTTGAATTCTTTCCCTGTGGCTACTTTGAAAGGCGTGTAGCCGGTGCTGCTGTGCACGGAATTATTGTATGCCACCTCCGCAAAAGGGAGGAGATCAGTCCAGTTCGTCTGTTGGTAGGAAACGTAGCACCTAAGATATTGCTCCACCATTTTGTTAGCGGCTTCAGCGGCCCCATTGGTGGCTGGATGAAAAGCAGATGATAACCCTTGAGATGATCCAATCAATGTAAGGAAATTTCTCCAAAACTTCGCTGTGAATTGCACCCCCCTGTCTGAGATTATTCGCTTAGGGGCACCATGCAGCCGGTAGATATGTTTCAGGAACAATTTGGCCAGGCGTTGGGCGGATGGGAGTCCTTTGCAGGCGATGAAATGAGCTTGTTTCGAGAACAGGTCTATCACAGTCCAAATGACAGTATTTCCCTTACTTTCAGGTAGGTCCACTATAAAGTCCATAGCTATTTCTTCCCAGGGTTGAGAAGGGTCTGCCACGGGTTGCAGTAACCCAGGAGTTTTCCCCGGGATTCTTTTCATTGTAGCACATACTGTACAACTTTTTACATAGTTTTCCACATCCTTTTTCAGCCCCGGCCACCAGAATTGCCGGCGGGTGAGGTGTAGGGTTTTCAAATATCCGAAGTGTCCAGCCTGCTTTACATCGTGGCTGTGGTTGAGAGCATTTAGACGGAGCGCTTCTGGCAAATATAACTTCCCCCCTTTGTAAGCCAAGCCATCCCTGCATGTTAGGGACGCTTGATTATCTTTGAACCATTGGTCAGTGAGGAGCTCTCGTTTTATTTTCTTCACTCCAGGGTCATCCGGATTGGGGACCCTGCGAGGTGTAAGTTGAGTGACAGTTTGTGGATTGGGAATAATTGCCTCGTTAACCTGCTCTCGTTCACTTTTGTACTGGGGTAACCGGGATAGCGCATCAGCTAGAAAGTTCTTTCCTCCTGGTATGTACTTTAGAGTGAAGTTGAAGCGGTTAAAGTACTGTGCCCACCATACTTGCTTTGGTGACAATTTGCGAGGAGTTTTCAATGCCTCTAGGTTCTTGTGATCAGTCCATACCTCAAATGGCACCTTGCTCCCTTCTAGATAGTGTCGCCAGTTCAATAGCGCCCACCTAATTGCGAAGGCCTCTTTTTCCCAGATTGCCCATCTTCGCTCGCTCTCAGTGAATTTCTTAGAGGTGTAGGCACAGGGTTGCAGGATCCCATTTTTGTTCTTTTGAAGTAACACTGCTCCAACCGCCACATCGCTGGCGTCGGCTTGAATCACAAAGGGTTCCCCTGGGCAGGGGTGCTTTAGAACCGGTTCAGCGGCAAATAGTCTCTTTAAATTCTCAAAAGCTGTTTGACAGCTCATTGTCCATGCTAGTGGTTGGCCCGGTCGTGGCTTCCCTCCTCCTTTGCCTGTTTTGAGTAGTTCTGTAAGAGGAAGGGCAATCTCGGCAAAAGAAGGGATGAATTGACGATAAAAGTTGGCAAAACCCAGAAAGCTTTGGAGCTGTTTGCGAGTCCTTGGGGGTTGCCATTCGATTATAGTTTTTACCTTGGCCGGATCCATTTCAATACCCTCATTGGAAATTCGGTAGCCAAGATAGTCTAATTGGGTTCGGTGAAATTCACATTTTGACAATTTGACATAAAGCTTGGCATTCAATAGCTTCTTTAACACTTCTCTCACTAGCTTTATGTGATCAGTCATGTTTGTGCTGTATATCAGGATATCATCAAGATACACCAAAACCCCTTTGTACAAGTGATCATGTAGAACCTCATTAATCAACTGCATAAATACAGCTGGGGCCCCCTGTAGTCCAAATGGCATGACTTTGAACTGATAGCTCCCCATAGGGCAGTTGAAGGCAGTTTTCCACTCGTCTCCCTCTTTTATTCTCACCCGGTAGTATGCCTCTCTTAGGTCTAACTTAGTGAAGACACTCCCCTTAGCCAGGTGGGTCAATAAATCCTTTAGGAGGGGGAGGGGGTATTTATTTTCCACACTTACAGCATTGAGTCCCTTGTAGTCTACGCAGAGACGAAGAGACCCATCTTTTTTCTCTTTGAACAACACAGGGGCTCCCACGGAAGATTTGGCCCGTTCAATAAACCCCCTCGCTAGGTTCTTGTTCACATATCGCTGCATCTCCTCCATTTCGAGGGGGGACATAGCATACATCCTCGGACGTGGGAGTTTGGCTCCGGGCACCAGTTCGATGGAGCAGTCATTGGGTCTGTGAGGGGGTAGGGCATCACATTCTTTTTCACTGAACACCTCCGCCAGGTCCAAGTATTCTTTGGGGATGACTGGTTCACCTGGGGTCAGTGAGACGGCCATGTGCGCTCGCTCATTGGGTGGTCTGAGATGCCCGGTAACATCTGTTGAATCAATGGGGGGATCAGGCCCTATAGGTAGTCTCACAATTCTCATTCCTTTCTCCCACCAGATAAATGGCTTCCATTTGTCCAACCAGGCTAGTCCCAGGATCCCTGCCTCGGTCATCTTTGGAGCCACCAGGAAACGAATAAACTCCCAGTGTGCACCTATTTCTAGGCGTAAAGGCTCAGTTAATTGTGTAACAAGAGTCCCTCCCATCAGGGAGCCATTGGCTTGCTCAAATCTCATCGGTTTGGAAAGCTGTTTTGCCCTTATGCCCATTTTCATGGCAAACGCCAGACTAATAATGCAGCGGGTACATCCCGAATCAATTAGTACGTTTAAGTCTATTTGTGCTCCAGACGTAGGGATTACAAGTTTGGTGGGCAGTGAAAAAGGCGGGATTTGTTGACTCACCATTGGGTCGTTTTCTCCTTCATCGTCGCTATCAAAGAAGGGAAGAGCAGGGGCAGGTCCACCTGGAGTCTTGGCATCCTCCTGTGTGTGGGGTGTAACCTGGGCAACTGGTTCTTGCGTGAGTCGATTGGATTTTTCTCTTGTTGGCCGCTGAGCAGGTTTCTTTTGCCTCGCCGGTCCTGGCTTGCTCTGCAGTCGAGGGTAGGGGACTGGACAGGTGGCCGCTCGGTGTCCTCCTTGTCCACACCGGAAACACCCGAAGGAAGGGTGTGCAGATGGCCTGGTTCTCTCAGCCCTCGCAGTGGTTGAAGGCTTTCGTGGGGGTGATTGCTGTTCAGGTAGCTCTGGTTGCTGTTCGGGTTCCTGTGGGGGAGGCTTTTTATAGCGAGAGAGCTTAACATCCAGCTTCACGGCCGTCTGGTACCACTCCTGCAGCCGATCAGGTACTTCTCGATAGATGCAAGCCTGGGAGAGGTGATCATCTAATCCCTCAATGAAGTGATGGATGAGGGACTGCTCAGGCCACCCCTCTATTCGACCTGCCATCTTGCGGAACTCTCGCACGTACTCCAGGGCAGGCCTCCCTGCTTGTTTTATTTTGTGAATTTGTCCTGCTGCTTTGAGGCCGATGGATGGGTCTTCAAATCGTTCTCTCAGTCCTAAGAGAAAGAGATGGGGATCCTCCAATTCGAGGGCTTGCTCGCTATATAGATTGTTCAGCCATTCAGATGCTTCTCCCTCCAGGTTGGCCCCAACGACGTCAACCATGGCCCCTGGTTCTGGATAGAGATAGGCCCAGCGATTTAAATGAGAACGCACTTGGTTGAGGAAAAAAATCAGCTTCTCTGGGTCCCCATCGAACGTTGCATTGAAGGGTGGTGCAAACACAGGCTGCTGTGGCCCCCACTGGGGCTGGTTCCATGGCTGCTGGGCCCTCTGCTGCTGGCCAGCGGGGTTGGATGGTACCCCCTGCTGCTGTAGGCCTCCCAATGGTGGCTGCGCAAGTGGGGGTTGTAGTGGTCTTCTCTGTTGTTGGACTGCAGGGGGTGGTGGTGCCCTCTGCTGCTGCTGATCATTCATCTGCTGGGGAAACCCATCTACCCATTGCTGCAGATGCCTCAGACTGGAACTCACCCTCTCTTCAGGGTTGGGGTCTCTGACTGGCAAAGGCAGGGTCTGACAGGCTTCCTGCTGGGCTCCCCACTGCTCCTGTGGCCACCCCAGTTGCTGTAGGCCCCAACCTGGCTGCAGAGTTATGCCCAGGGGTTGCACGTTTGGGGGCTGTGGCCAACCTCCTTGCTGTGGCTGTTCTCCCCCCAGCTGCTGATTTCCTGGCTTCTGTACCACCCCAAGACATTGCAAGGCCTCTATTGGCTGTGGTAAGTTCAGAGGACGTGGATCAGCCACTTGCTGGGGAACCCAATTTCCCCTTTGTTGCAGAGGATTCAAACTGGGATTCTCTCTCTTAGGGATGAAGGTTTCACTTTGTAGGGACTGTTTTCTGTTTCTCATTTCTAAGTTTTGAAATCTTTCCAATGACTCACCCATAACTGTGTTATCTGTCCATGCTGCTTTTGAAGTCTTCGCTCTCAGCTGGGAAATCTGCCAAATTTCTCTCTCCCCCAGCTTGCTGGCTGTCGCTTTCCCCCCCCCCCCCCCGGGGAAACTGCTGCAGCTACGGGGCTGGTTTCAGGCAATCTTTCTTTCTCCATGATGAGATCTCCCCCGAAACTTTGCCACCTCCTTTCAGGCATAAAGGCAGCTGTTGATAGATCGGGACGTAGATCGTTTGAAAAAAGTGTGGATTCTGGCATGATGTCACATGTTCCGACTAAAGAAGCACTTCAAAGAACTTTCAGGCATGTTTCCTAAAGTCTTTATTTGCAGAGCTACAATTTATGCCGGTCACCATTGGACTAGTTGATGCCAGAATCTGAACTTCCGGTCGCTGGCATCAAGCTTTCCTTGCTCAACCCCTCCCTTCTCATGCAGTCACAGGTCACATTATCCAATTAGTGAGAAGGTCAAAAGTTTACTTCCTCTTTCTTTCCCGGGCTTTTTCCCCCACCCAGTCTAAGCTAAGTATTAACCCAATAAATGCCAAACAGTTTTGCATATTGTCAAAGCAAGAATATACAGTATTTGCAGCATTGACAGTTCCAATATTTGAGGTGCTGCCACAAAGAAGAGGGAGTCAAGCTATTTTCCAAAGGACCAGAAGGCAGAACAAGAAGTCATGGATGGAAGCTAATCAAGTATAGAAGCAACCTACTGTAGAAATTTCCTATTGATGAGAACAATTCACCAGTGGAGCAGGTTGCCTTCAAAAATTGTTACTGCTCCAACACTGGAATTTTCAAGAAGAGATTGGACAGCCATTTGTCCAGAATGGTATGGGTTCTCCTGCTTGTGCAGGGGTTGGACTAGAAGACTCCAAGGTCCCTTATCATGCACAGGCCAATGGTCTTATGGAAAGGATGAAGCAGACTCTAGAGGGTATGCTCAAGAAATATGCAGGGCATGACCCAAAACATTGAGATACATGGCTGCCTTTTCTATTGTTTGCTTACAGGGAATTTCCTCAGGCATCCACAGGATTCAGCCCTTTTGAATTAGTGTATGGAAGACAACCTTGTGGTGTTCTAGACATCGTTAAAGAAAGCTGGTGTGGAAACTTAGAAGGCTGAAAAACCTATCTGACTCGCCTGAACGCAAAGTAATAAGTTGAAAGCCCTAGCATAGGGGTCTCCAACCCTCAGTCTGTGGACGGGCACCAGTCCACACCATGCAAGCAACCAGTCCACGTAAACAAGTGAAGCCCCATCCATGGGATGCAGGCAGCATGAAAAACCACGCCTTTGGTCTGTGGAAAAACCTCTCTCCATGGAACTGGTCCCTGGTGCCCAAAAGGTTGGGAGAGGTGCTGCCCTAGGACACATTTGTCCAGGAACATTTAGCAACTGCCAGAGAAAGCCAGAAAAAACATTAAGATCAAGGGCAGAAGGTGAAGCGATTTAACATAGGAGACCAAGTCCTGTTACTACAGACCAGGGGTCTTCAAATTTGGCCCTTTTATGATTTGTGGACTTCAACTCCCAGAATTCCTCAGCCAGCGTCCCTGGCTGAGGAATTCTGGGAGTTCAAGTCCACAAGTCATAAAAGGGCCAAGTTTGAAGACCCCTGCTCAAACAGTCCTCAATTTACAACCATTTGCTGAGTGACTGTTCAAAGGTCATAAAGTGGGTCAAAACTCACTTAACAACCACCTTGCTTAGCAACAGAAATTTTAGGCTCAATTGTGGTCGAACTTTGAGGACTATCTGTATTGCCTAGTTTTTTTAAAAAAAGAAAAGCAAACCACAGACTAAGTGATAGTGTTCCTACATAGGAAAGAGAACAACTGGCCCAGTGAAATTACAAAATAGAATGGTAAGGGACTCTAAATTTATGTGTGCCGTACAACTGGGTGTGACTTTCTTGGAGCCATGATATATGTAAAAGAACACATAAAATTAAGTTGTCCTCCATCACAGCAAATTAAAGAAGCATCCCAGGTCTGCTCAGACAGGAAATGATTTTTTTTCTCTGTTTTATTTCTTCTCCAATCAAAAATCTCTTTCCTTGTTCTTATCAAGAATCAGGGCATACCCTGAAATATTTTTAGCTGCCTTCCCCTTTAGTATATTGATAGAGGAGCATATCTGTAGCTCCGGGTTGAAATGAGGGATCCCAAGTGCTCTTTGAACTTGGTAGTTTCATTACCAAACTAGGTAACATCATCAGTGCTAATTTGCTAATAGCAATAGCACTTAGAGTCAGCACATTGGCCCCAACAATCTGGGTCCTCATTTTACCGACCTCGGAAGGAGGGAAGGCTGAGTCAACCTTGAGCCAGTGAGAATCAAAACTGTGCAGGCAGAGTCAGCCTACAATACTGCACAGATGTAGTGAAACTTGTGTAAAAAAAAAGAAGAAACCATCAAGCCCTCTTAATGTGTGAATGCTCTATTATTGTGTTGCCTGGATGAAAGCTACCCTCCTGAGCCTTTCATCTTCTTTGCTGCAGCAAAGGGACCCCTTTAGTCTTAGTGTCAGCTGTCTGTTTTCTCCCTCTACAACTATCCCATGTAATGAATCACTTTCCCAAATCCTCTTTCCATCACCAAAACACACCAAGAAAGGAGGAAAGAGCCCTTCAAAGAAAGCCACAAGGGGAAAACAGCATACCTGGGCCCGAATGATGTCTTTGCAGCTAATCAGAGGCGTTTCCAGTTCATTAAGGGAACTCTTCCGATAATACTGATCACTCTGCTGTGGGAAAGAAAACTTTCACCGTTTACATGCTGCAGCCCATTCTAAAAATTTGGGGTGCAGGGATGGTGGAGGAATTGGGATCCTTATTTCCTGGGATCAGTCACTAAATACCTTAAAGTTAGCCAGTTTGGTCTAGTGCTTAAGGCACTGGGCTAGAAATCAGGCGACCTTGAGGTCTACTTCCCCTTTAGCCATGAAAATCATCTGGGTAACCTTGGGCCCCTCTCTCTCTCTCTCTCTCTCTCTCTCTCTCTCTCTCTCTCTCAGCCCAACCCACCTTAGAGGGTTGTTGTTGTGGGCAAAACTGGAAGAGGAAGGAGTTTTGGATACGTTCACCGCCTTGAGTTATTTGTAAAAATAATAAGGGTGGGATACAAATAAATAAACCATGTGCCATGGCAGACTATGGACGATTTAGAAGTGAGGTTCCCAAACTCTTCAGCTCATCAAACCCTTCATGAAGTTTGAAATTGTTGCTATCACCCAAGGAAGGAGACGATGCACCCATCCACCACCACCATCACCCATTCAATTCAAGAAGCAGCCTCTAACCAGCGAGCCCTTATAAGGGTTCTCCATCCTTTTCTCTCTGCCAAGTCCACCACCTCTACTATCACTTGAACATCCCACTCCTGTAGAACCCGGTGAGTGTGACCTCACAGACATCAGAGCTCCCTTCAATGCAGGTGGGCCGGCAACATGACGAAAGAAAGAAGGCAGCAGATGCCAGGAGGAAAAAATTGAGGAGGAAGGGATTTCCTACAAACATTTTTCATACATAGAGGAGAGGTGGGATTCTGCCTGGTGAATAAGTCAGGCTGTCAACCCTGTGACAAACCGAAACGAAGCCACATAATTGATTGCCACATATTTAGTTAGAAGGAGGAGGAGGGGGGTGTAATTCTCAGTTAGCCAAAATAATTCATATGTATGGAAACCAAGGTCATTGCTGATAACATTTTGGCCGGTTGCTGGGAGGAGTGCCTGCATTTTGCTGAATTCATTGGTGAATGTGATTTATGACAGCAAATTGGGATGGAAATTGCAACTTGCAACTTTATAACCAAGGGGAAGGGAATTTAGTCTTGGGTTCACCTTTGTAGCCAAATAAAAATGTTCTTGAAGGAAGAATTTCTTGCCTTGAAGTTCTTTTAAATGATCTCATCTATCGGAACCATGACACAGGCAACTTGTGTACCAGCCATACATAGACTGGCAACACAATTCACCTTGTGTGATATCTATGGAGATTCTCAATTGTCCAGGTCATAGTTGTCCCAAAGGTGCTTTTCAATAGGCAACTTGTTTTTTTTCCTTGAAAACATTTCACTTCTCATCCAAGAACTGGAGAAACGTGTGGACTTCAACTCCCAGAATTCTTCAGCCAGCTTTGCTGGCTGAGGAATTCTGGGAATTGAAGTCCACACGTCTTAAAGTTGCCAAGGTTGAGAACCCCTGAGCTACAGGATGGTGCATCTTGGCTCAGTCAGGATCACCTTGGTTGTGGGGGAAGATTTCCATGCTTACCACAGTTGGGTACCAACAGATATTCTTTATGCATGCATGATACCACAAATAGCAGAAAAAGCTTATTAGAAAAAGTTTTAACAGTGACATATCTAATCTCTGTACAACCCTCAACATCCTTCTTGCTGTAGGCAGACAACATGCCTACTCCAGCTTCCTGAACCAGCTCCTTTTTTGAATCTGCGTAGAGAACTAAATCATAAAATAACAAACTCGCCAATGCTTTTGCAATGCATAAACACACCCCCCCCCACAAACTTTATCATTTAAAACTAATCAAAAGCATATTCTACACAAGTAGCTGATGGATGTTTCACTGGTTGTGTTAGGTTGTAGGACCCCAGGCCACGGGTTCCTTGGGCATAAAAAGGTCATCTGAACCCCACTTACTGCTTCATTGACACCAGGTGATTAAGGCATGAGGCTACAAACCAGGAGACTGTGAGTTCTAGTTCCACCTTAGGCATGAAGCTATTCTGGGTGTCTTTGGGCCAGTCACTCTCTCCCAGCCCTAGGAAGCAGGCAGCAACAGAAGACCATAAGAAAGTCCCACCTTAGGCATGAAACCATTTGGGTGACTTTGGACCAGTCATTCTCTCTCAGCCCTAGGAAGCAGGCAATGGCAAACCACTTCCAAAACCAGGCCAAGAAAATTGCAGGGATTTATCCAGTCACCGGTAGTCAACACTGATTTGAAAGCACCCTCCACCCTCCAAAAAATGAAATGCTACGAAAGGACCTATAGATGACAACCAGCAGTTTGAACTGCAATTCTGAATCCAACATGTCATGGAGGCATCCTCAAATCCTTGCCCCACCTTCAAGTATTTCAACAAATAACAAAGGGAAAATCTATATTCTATCAAAGATCAGCTTCTTATAGTACTCCCCGCTCCAAAGAAAATAATTATAGCAAGGAACAAAGAATATAAACTAATACAGAAAATGTTCATGAATCTTTTTCCAAACTCATATTAAAAAAAGGCAAGCTGAAGTACAAACATAAATGTTAAATAAGAAAAATAACTTATAGACCAGCTCATGTATGCCTAGCTTTCCTATCATCCTTATTATAAGCATCTTCACATGAAAACCTTATCTACTTACCCTTGAAGAGCTTCTTAGGTAAAGGCTTATTCCTAAATATAATTAGTGCAGAAATAGCTTTCTGGGGGGGGTTTTTCCCTCCAGTTCCACCTGGTGCTTAACTCACTTCAATCAGCCTAAAATGCTGACCAAAATTATAGCTGCAAATTACTGAATGTATTCCATTATAAATCAGTAATATAATGCCACCCATATTTACTGTGTAGAGCTGTGTTGAAAAAAAAGAGAAAAGGCTTTTAGAAAGGAATATCTTAATGTCTTTTTTTATACAGATATAGCAGGGGTTTTTCTTTCAAGAGCTCCAGGTGACAGCATCCCGTTCTTCCAATTTTTCTCCTCAATAATCCTTCAGAGAGGTTGGCACGTGCACATGCAGGGGGTCTCAGAAAAGTCAAGATGGGGCTCATAAGCTTGTGACCCAGGTCCCACCACTTAGCTTTGTGTGTGGCACAGTGCACATAATGGGGGGGCTTTGATTAGTTGATAATGCTGCCATCTTAGCATTGTAAATTGGGCCCATTTTAAATTTAATTTCATATCAGGGTGCCCATAGAAAAAGAAAAAAGAATAAGCAGACTTGCTTATTGGCTAACATGACAGGCATAGTCAATCATGAAACATCCATTACCTGGAAACATAAGTAATATTCCAGTTTTACTATTGCGGTTGAGCAAAATTTCAACTTTGGAAATAGTCCAAGCGTGTTCCCTGGAAAAATTACTCCAAATTGAGTAAAAGTGGGTTTCCTTTGGGTAGCCACACACAAACTCATTACCCAATCATAAAAAGGATATTTAAATAAAGAGTTTCTGATCAGCAGTTTAGGGTAAGGAAGAAAAAGGTTTGGGAAGTACCCTCTTAAAACTGTTTTTGTTTTGTTTTGTTGCAAATGTTTCTTCATTCTGCAGTCAGCTGAAACTGCACTGATGCCTTTTGACCACACAGCGGTGGTAGGGAACTAAGAAACAGGATGGATGCCACTTTTGTAGATATGGTTGGGCCTTTCCAGGTTAGCCCACACAGTCCTAATCAAGCATGGGAAAAGCTGAAACCAAAGTCCATGATACCGCCAGTTTGAATCTTACAATATGAAAAATAAAGGCATATCTATTTTAATTTCACCAAATGGAACTCTTCAGAAGAATTGAGATGATCACTCCCCAGATGTTCAACTAAATTACACCTATTTTTAGCAAGTTTATCAGTATGAACCTAGGATGGGATCTTTAACGTTAGCACTAAGCTTGGCAAATTAATTGCATAGGAATTATTCAGGGTTTGCACAGCCTGTGCTATTGTGAACAAAGCTGGTCCCCACTTAATAATCCAAGTTTCTCTAAGTGGTTGCTGTTGAAAATCAAAAGCCTTTGACAATAAGTCAGGAAATATTCTGAAGAAGAAAGGGCCAAGAGCCTTATAATAATAATAGAGAATTGGTAAGTTTAGCAGTTATTCAAACAATCAATAGATTTATTTATTTAGAACATGTATATGTCTGCCCATCTTATAACAAATTCTGAGTGACTCCGAATCACAGAGATGTCTCACCCATCTTCCCAAAGAGATGAGCCACTTTCCTGTTGCCCCAAAAGTACACAAGGAACAGACCACAGTGTTGTTGCCTAAGGTTGCTTATAGAGCTGCAGGTAGTCCTCAACTTACAACCACAATTTAACCCAAGTTTTCTGTTGCTAAGTGAGATATTAATTAAGTGAATTTTGCCCCATTTTACGACCTTTCTCGCCCAACTTGATAAGTGAGTCACTGCAGTTGATGTTAGTGATACGGTTGTTAAGTGAATCTGGGTTGCCCATTGATTTTGCTTGCCAGAAGCTCACAAAAGGTGATCATGTGACCCTGGAGCATTGCAACCGTCATAAATATGAGTCAGTTGCCAAGCATCTCAATTCTGATCATGAGACTATGGGGAAGCTGCAACGGTCGTGTGAAAAATAGTCATAAGTCTCTGTTTTCAGTGCCATTGTAACTCTGAACAGTCACTAAATGAACAGTTGTAAGTCAAGGACTACCTGTATATACATAGATTGTTTCATTTGAAAGCAGGAGACTTGCTGCTTTTAAAAATATTACTCATCTTGTCTCCTAGAGACTCTGTGGGTGCACTATTCCCATTCCATATTACTAGCAAGGAAACCTGACAGTTACTAAGAAAATTACTTTTTATTATGTGGGTTATTCCTATTTGTTCTGCCAGAAATCAGTTAACATTCTCCTTTTTTTTTAACCTTCTGATATGAGACGGACTATAAATACATGCCATACACTGTGCCCAAGTCAAGAATGTGCCTGCGCATATTCATAGGTCCTCTGTAATGTTCATGTAATGCCCGAGTCCTCTCAGCATGCTGGTGAGGCACTCTTTGAAACAGGTGTTCAATCGGGAAAAATCAGCACGAGTGATCTGATCAGAGAAGTTAATTGAAGAAGAGAGGCCTGTGAGGGACACGGCTCAGTGGAAAAGCACAAGCTTTGCATGTAAAAAGTTGTAGGTTCAATCTCTGGCTTTGCTCAACAAGAAGGAATGCTGTCTAAAATGCAGAAAATACACACACACACACACACACACAGTGCACCCACAGAGCAAAAGTCTAGGAGCCAAAATGTGTGTGTGAGAGAGAAAGAAAGAGAGAGGTGGGACAGAGGGAGGGGGAGAGAGGGAGGGAGAGGGAAAGAGAGAGGGGGGGATCCAGGAATATATCAGCAAGATGGCACCCAAAGATGAGCTGCTGAGAAAATGCCCAAGGCAACAGCAGATGGGGAGGAAGATCAAGCCAAAGAAGTGTCACAGCAAGACAAGACACTGCATGGGGACATACCACGAACAGAGGTACCTGAGGTGGCTGACACTGGGAAACCCTCCCAGTGTCTGGAAAAGACTAAAACACAGCACTGAGGCATTGATCAGAGTAACACAAGAACAAGCATTA